AGAAGCTTTGGGTGAAAGGAACAGTTTCTGGTATATCTTTTGAGGAGACAGCACAATCAGTTCACCTAGAAGTCACCTGAAAGTCAGCCCTGAGGGTTTCTATGGAGCATTTGTCATCAGGAGCATACACAGACCAGACTTTGGAACTCCCTTCTTAGGTAAATGACATTTGACACCATCTTGTCCCCAGTGCTCTGCCATCTTCCATGCTAGTTTTCAATGCTATTGAACAAGAAATTAGTGTACTTAAGGGCAGTTTTTAAAAGTGAGGAATCAGGACTGGAGAAATGGCTCAGTGGTTAAGAGCACTGGCTGCTCTCGCAGAAGACCTGGGTTTGATTCCCAGCACCCGCATAGTGACTAACAACCATCTATAACACCAGTTCCAGGGGAATCCGACACCCTCTTCTGACCTCTGAGAGCACTGCGTGACACTGGTATACTTCCACACATTACATTCATACATATAAAATAAAAATAATAAATAGAATATTTTTAAAAAATAAAATTATATTTAAAAAATATAATTAGTTGTTTCTAATTACATCATCTAGGTTTAGAAAGGAAAAAATCTGCCACAAACTCTATTCCTTTCTGTATGCTAATGGATTCCTTTCTTTTGTTGCTATTGTTTGCTTTTTCTGGGAAATATGGCATGATTTAAACTGCTCTGTAGGGCACAGTGGTCCCCTTTACACTTGGGGGTACATTCCAAGACTCCCAGGGGATGTTGAAACTGAGAAGAGCCCTATAAATGCCATGTTGTCTCCTAAGCGCATAGCTATGATAAAGTATAACTTCTAAATCAGATGCAGTAAGGTTAACAACAGTAACAGGTGACAAAATAGATCAATGATAGCCATCTACTATAATGAAAGCCATTTCAAAGTGTGAGCCACTTATTTCTGGAATTTTCCATTTAATATTTTAGACTGCAGATGACTGTGAGTAATTGGTACTACTGAAGGGAAACCACAGATGAGGGACCCTTGTGAATCTCATTTGAAAATCCTTTAGTCAAGGATTTTCAAGCCATGTGCTTTTGTTTTTTTCTTTTCTTTTTTTCCATCGCTTTTATTATGAGATTTTTTTTTTTTTTTTTTTTTTTTTTTTTTTTTTTTTTTGACATGGCAGACTGCTTTGGCAAAGGAGAATAAGATCAACTTACCATGTAGACCATGGCTAATAGCTTTAAAAAATTCCCCAGCAACTGAGTAATGAGCTGCCAAAAATATGCTCAGTGCCAAAAGATCTGAAGGATCTGAATATGTCTGTTCCATTTATTGCAAATTTCTTGTTTCATCATGACTAAGTGCTCACAAAAGACATAAAAATCCAAACCTCCAAGGCATTTGAGGCTTAAGGGCAGAAACCATATTTTAATACATCCAGACCTATTCCCAGTACTTGCAGATGGTTAGCAGGTACCAACAGCAAAAGCAGTATGAGAGTAGTCCATAGTATGAGAGACACTGAGATGCTGCGGAACAGAAAGATGTTCTGATGTCACCATGGCTCTTAGTCCAGTGGCTCAACAACGTTTATTCCAAAGAGTGTTAGAAGCCTTACACCAAACATTATTCATTTCTCCAGCTTGTTTGAATAAATTTACAGTTTTCAGAAAGATAGGTCCTATTAATTAAAGCCATACATTCAAAATCATTTTCATTTTCATTTTACACAAACAATAAATGAAATAAAGAAAAAGATTGTCTTATAATTAAAAGGAAAAAAAATGAAAATGTATTGACAAGATCTGGGGAAACATGGCAATGTAGAAAACTTAGAATTTTGGATTTCATTGGAAGTTGAAGTCGGGACGAACAGCATCAAACCCTCTCACCACTGCTGCTCCCCCATTCTCAGCCCTAAGCTCGGTCAGCTCCTGACCATCAGATTCTCCTTCCCTGGACTCACAGCCCCTGAAGTCTTGTCTAGGCCCTGGCCAGCTGAAGCAGCCTGGCTTCCACCCACAGGCCATGCATTCTGCCCTGTCTTCCCTTCTGGAGCAGACCATCCTCTTCAGATCTCCATTCTCTTGCAAGACACTTGCAGCATAGAAGACATTTACATGCAAGCCACTTCCCAGGGCTGGAGGCCAAGAGATATTCCTGGCCTGGTTAGCTCAGCGTCCCACTCAGCAAAGCATACTGGAATTTAACTGTCATTCTAGAAAATAAATCTGAATTTGTTTTAAATTAGTATGCCATTCATATCTGAAATTCGATGTTTTGTTATTTATAAAAATTACTTATAACTCTCTATCATGACCAATTATCATAGACCCAACCTCCTGGTGAAGGTCTGTCTTGTGATTCCTTGACGCTAGTTCAGTCTCTCTTTGGATTTATTAAGACCGCCCTCACCCCCTGCGGGGTGTCTTGGGCATGTATAATCCTCTCTCTCTCTAGGAAGCCCAGTTTGGGCTACTTGGGCATCTCAGTGTGGCCGCATGAAGACAAAGCACTTCAGGCAGAGTGCTCCAGAGAGAAACTTCAGTGCCATCTTAGTTTACCTGGAATTGGGAACATCAACTGAGCATTTTCTTAGTGATCCCCAGAAGCCCAGTATAGAACCTTTCACTCCTGCTTGCAGTTTCCCTTCAGCAGTGGTCAGTGATCTAATGTGGTTATCACTTGATGCATACCACAACTCACAAATTTAGGGCAAGGTACAGAATTGCTTGTCATAGTGACTAAAATCAAAATATTTTTGTCACAGATTGAAACTGAGGGAAATGTAAGACACTATGGGTTATCACAAGCCCTTAACTTAAACACATGTAGAATTTATATTTAAAACAATCTTTAATAAAAATTAGCATTTATGAATGCCATACCCCCAGAGGACTATTTATTATCTGCCTATCGTGGAGAATTATCAAAAAGAAAAATTGTACACATTTTCTATACATAGCTGATGAGCTGATTGTGATTTGAATATGTTAAACTGTATTATACCTCATGTGACTTCAAATATCATATTGTATTCTTCTATTAAAATATTTAGCTTAAAAACTTACAAAAAACAAACAAACAAACAAACAAAAAAAAAAAAAAAACAACGGGTATTGTGGCACACACCCTTATCAATCCCGGCACTTGGGAGGCAAATGTAAGATCCATCAAAGCCAGCCTGGTTTACGTAGTGAGTTTCAGGCCAGCTGGGGCTACAGGGAGACCCTGTCTCAAAAACAAAACAAAACATTTTATTAATGTCAATTTCATTCTCCAACCTTGGTAAGAGAAGAACTCGGTGCATAATAATTGGAGTTTCACAGTGTGTCCTAAGTTGTTAAGGAGTTTTTAGGGTCAATATATGGGGCTCTCTTGCTGCCTCAATAGACCAGGTTTAGCCACCGATCCCAAATACACCAGTTAACAAGATAAGTAATAGTGAAAATCAGGGGCTGGAGAGATGGCTCAGTGGTTAAGAGCACTGGTTGTTCTTGTAGAGGACCCAGGCTCAGTTCTCAGAACCCACATGGCAGCTAACGACCATCGGTTAACTCCAGTTACAAGGGACCCAATGCCTTCTTCTGACCTCTGTGGGCATTGCATGACATGGGTGCACTAACGTACAAGCAGGCAAGACACTTCATACACGTAAATAAAAGTTTTAAAAAATAGTGAAAAACATGAGAGATTTATTCAGTGTGGGTCACACAAAGGGAACCAAATGAAGGCCTCTAGTGTCCCTAAATCTATCTTCTATGTCCTGACATGAAGTCTAGATTTAAATGAAGGAGAAGAAGCCTGCATAACTAAGCAGTCAAGTCTCAACTGTGGTTTCACCATTATTGACTTCCTTGTCTCCTTTCTAGTCTCTGCTGCAAGTAGAGCTATGTGAAATTTATTCCTGAGAGGCAAGCTATTCCTCTTTCATTTCCCCAGCACAGGATAACTAGGACCTTTTAATAGGGGGGTGGTCATTGTTTAGATAGTAGGATAGTCAAAGAGAGTAGCACAGGGTCTCTTGAATATCCTCCCTCCTGACAAGCTGCTTACAGTATGTTCCCTGGGACTAAAAGCTGAATGTTAAAGGGTATGACTTGACTGCCATTTCATTTCATTTTTCCTTTTCCATTTGTGTGTGTGTGTGTGTGTGTGTGTGTGTGTGTGTGTGTGTGTGTGCGCGCGCGCGCACGTGCGTGCATGTGTGTGTGTCTGCATGCTAAGGCTCAAAGTTGATGTAAGGAATCATCATTGATTGCTCTTCTACCTTATTCATTGAGGCAGGGTTTCTCAATCAAACTCAGAACTCATTAATAGGCTGGTCTCACTAGCCAGCTTGCCCTGGGGATCCTCTATCTCCACCTACTAAGACTAGAATTACCTACAGAACACCACACCACCCAGCGTTTTACATCGGTTCTAGAAATCTGAACTCAGCTCCTCATGTTTGTGCAAGAAGTTTAACCACTGAGCCACCTCCTCAGCCTCATTTCAGTATTTTTAATGAGAGCTTTGCTCCTATTTTTCTGAACAGGACACATGTAGCTGTCTAGAGTGATTGTTGGGTCAGTTTGTAATTTCATTTTTGAGTTTGTGATGTCTAGAAAGCTTACTTCATGGAAGAAGAAAGTAAAATGGTGGTTACCTATATTTGGAGGGTGGGGGGTGGATGGGGAAAGAGTTGTCAACAGGTAGAAAATTAAGTTTCATAGGAGGAATAAACTCAATATTTAACTATAGTTAACAAGAAATTACTATATTTTCCAGAATAACTGCAAGTGAAGACTTTGACTGTTCTTACTACAAATGTTTGATGTCGTGAATCAAATTATCCTGTGTATCATTATTACATTATCAATTAAACACAAAATGAAATGAAAAAACAAAGCTGTACAAAGGTTACCTGTAGGCTGGTTGTGGGGAGTGAGGACTCAGAGGGAACAAGTCATTTCACAGAAATGTTAAAACAAGCATCCATATGCTTGTGGAGTAGCAGGACGGAATGGAGTCCGTGGGTGTACTGACTGCGCACTTCTTCCCTTGCAGGCTCAACGTGGGAAAAGACATTCCGACAGATTGGCTTTGAAAGGTAAGCAGGGGGCAGCATATCCCCCACTTAGCTACTGCCGTTCCATTTTATTCTAAGCAGTTTTTCCATTATGAATAGTCTTTTTCATCACTGTTTCAGCAAATGTGTGACCTCAGACAGGTGTTCCTTTTATGTCTCTGATCTCTGTCTTTGTGAAGTTAGAGCTTTGTTTGATAAAATCCTTGTCTAGTAATCTCAGCATTTAAGAGATGCAATCAGGAAGATCAGCAGTTGCAAGGCCAGCCTTGGCTACATGATGAATTAGAGGACAGCTTGGATTGCATGATATCTTGTCTCAAAAATGCAAATAAATAAAAAATGTAAATAAAATAAACTCCCTGCCTATATCCAGAAGAGAACTAAAGAGTAGATGAACAGCTTATGTGAAAATGCTTCTTGGACAGTGAAACAGTATTAAAAAATGAGCTGTATAATTAGAGAGTTACAGCACGTAGAGGCGACTGTTTCCTATCTTCATCACTTCATTTTAATATAGCAATCACATTAATATTGAATATGTCGATAATATAAATTTGTATTTATATTGATTATTCTTAATTATTAAAATGCTTATAGCTTATCAGCTCTGAAAAAATACTGAACTCCTGTTGTTTCTACCCAGAAGCATTTCCACAACAGCGTCTCCCTGAAAGAAAAGGATGAGACGACTCACCACTGTAGCATCAGGTCCATCAACACTGCTGCCCCTGAGCTGCCTGCCTTTAGAACTGTGCGGGGCGCCATAGGGGACAGCTTCCTCCCAGGGACTCATGGCATCCTGTGTGGAAACTTCAATGTAGATGTGATCACTATAACAGAGGGAGGTAGTTTTTATCTTATTTTACTCCCAAAGCATATTTTTGCTAGTTCATTTTATTGAAAATTTGGTTGATCAAACTGACAGAACACTGACAGGAACTGACAGAAACTGACAGAACAAACATATAAAAGAAATGATCAATTCTTTTCCTACCGCTGTGATAAAATACTCCAACATAAGCAACTGAAGGGAGAAAGGGTTTATTTTAGCTCATTGATCAAGTGCAGTCCATCATAGAAGAGCCAAAGCGGCAGGAACTTGAGGGAGCCACATCCCTTCACAGTCAGGTAATGGAGGGATGAATGCACATGCTCAGCATGCTTTCTCCTTTTTCTTCAGTCCAGGACCCAAAGCCCAGGCTATGGTGCTGCCCACCCACTTACAGCCTGGGTCTTCCCACCTCAGCTAACCCAATTAAAATAATCCCTCACAGGCATGGCGAGAGGCTTGTCTCCCAGGTGAATCTAGGTTCTGTCAAGTTGAGAACATGAACCATCACACACACATACAAAAAAAAGTCACCATGACTAGCCTTACACACATGTATATCTTAGGGATAGCTTAGGGATAGATTCACAAGTAAAATGAGGGAACAAATTCACACAGAATTTGGATAAATTTTACCAAGTTCTCCTCTGTAAGTTAACAGTTTTACTCCCCTCAACAGCACATGAATTGTCAGAGCCTGCTGTTGGAAAGAAGCAGTATCTCAGTGTCTTTTAATTTGGACTTATCTTGGGTTACTTTTCCACAGATAACAAATGGAGACTCTTCTCTGCCTCCTAAATGAAGCTCTTGTCAACATAACTGGGCAATTGAAAATAGATTTGATTCCTAGCTTTCAAGATCCTAACCTCTTACTATCTTTGGTAATGATGATTTCATCAACAGAGCTATCATGTGCCAAGCACTGTGTCAAATCATGTCTACTCTGTAGATGGGGAGTTGGCAAAGTTTTACTGTAAAGGGAAAGATAGCAAACCATTTAGGATTTTGCAGAGCAATAGAGTTTCTGTTGCAACTTCTTACCATGACTGTTGGACCAGATTGAAGCCATAGACAGTGGGTATGGCTGTATTTCAAGAACATTATTTACCAAAACAGGCAGGTTTGGATGGTAGCCATCATTTATTGACTCCCACTATAGACTTGGGTCTCGTAGGTACAAGAATTCAAAGAAACCATGAAGGTTGCCCAGTACAGGCACAGTCCTCAGGCTAACCTGCATTTGGTCCCAGGGGTTCCTGGTTCCAAACACTCAGCTTTTTTGTCATAGCACACAGAGACACAGGTCTCTTTTGTTTTGTGTTTTATTTCTTCTATCCCTGTATCTCAGGTACATAACCTCATATTGCAAGTCTTAGGGACTACTCTCATTTTACGACTATGTTGAATACAGATAGACAGTCTAATTTCCATATTATACTCCATCCCTAAATTCATATGCTTCCAAATAGAGGCATAAATAAAACTACTATTAGGGCACATGTCCAGAGATGCATTTGCTGTTTTTGAATTGTAATCTCAGCCACTGCTTTGCAGTATCTACAGTGCAGACCTATGGAGAGTATTTTTGGTGATCCTTCCAGTTTTTGAACACTGCCTTAAATGCTACTGTCCTTTCTCATTTAAGGGGAGGGGTTTTTTTGTATTATATCATGCCTTAAAATTCAGAACAGATGTTGGTCTTTGAAGTGACTGTGCATTTACAGGTGTGAAGACTGTCAGCAGAGCTGATAAATATGGCTTTGCTCCTTTTCTTTCCTCAAGTATAACCCCATGTTTGCCTTAAAGAAAATTCAAATTATACCTTAAATAAGACCTCTGATTCTTTAAAGCAGTTGTAAGAGATGTTCAGCCTTTCATGGCTGAGTTCTTTTTTGAAATTCATTCATCTATCTGCTTGGCAATAGATTATTTTAAAATGAATACACCTAATGGGAAAGAAGCAATTTTGTCAGCTGAAGTTCAAAGCTTCTCTAAGATTAAGAGCACGCAGGCTTCATGTGCTGTGTGTTGTGTAACTGAAAGGAAGATCCCGGGGCTGCTTTGCCTGCCCTGCATGTGCAGTGCTTGATGAACCATCCCATGAGATGCATCCAGCTGTTTCCTTTCTGTGACTATAGACACTGAGAATAAATGCATATTGTCACAGCTGATGTGACTGAGTCCATGATCATAGGTCAATTATATCTTCCCACTGTGGCCATCAGGCCTTATTACAGAAGTGTGTTTACCTGAGGAAGGAGGTTCCATGATACAGGTTTCCTGTATTGTTTTGTCTCCTCTAGTTCTATCATATTAATATCCACACAACAAACACAAACTCAATTTGTCACTATAGGAAAAAATGTGCTTTATGAGTTTGTATTTTAATCAGAAATCTCAAACT